CCACTTTTAAGTCTTATTTGAAGACCTACTTCTATTCATTGGCGTTTGACCAGGAATGACACTCTGTCTGTGGTGTTAGTGTTTATATTATTGTTTATAGCTTTTTATGTGTTGTTTTTATATTTGTATGATATGTTAAGTGCTTTGGTCAGCTGTGCTGTGGTAAAGCGCTATATAAATAAAGTTGAGTTGAGTTGAGTTGAGTTGTTTGTCTGAGTTATGTTCTTGGCAGTGACACAGTACATGTTCTACTGTCTCCTCTACTTGGCAGAGGTGGAACAACCCAAATGCACCGTTTTGTTTAACCTTATATGTCACACCTTAGCCCTGTTAGAACGCTCCCCTCCATGGCATTTCTTCCCATTACCCTCATGTTTCCTCCTACATTTTCCAGCTTCTTTCCCTCAACATTTTTTATTTACAACAAAAGGGTACAAACATTTACATTATAACAATGCGACTGCCCCCCCCCCACCAGGTGTTTGTATTTTATCTGATACACCAGCTACATTTCATTCAAACAATGAGACCATATATTATCTACAGCTTAAAGGCATACAAATAATTTTTGTATAATAATAGTAAAGAAAATTACAACAAATGATGACAATGTAATATGAATATGATTTACCTTGTTGGGTGAAATTAAATTAAAATGTGGGTGAATTTTTCACTTTGGGGGTGATCCCATTACAATATAATGCAAACAATCAATCCACAATGATCTCCAATACTAAAAACCCACAAACTATGCAATCCCCACCTCCAGTCCTCAAACATCGTCAGTGACGTCACACTCTGGCTGAGACAAGCCACAACACAAAGGTTCACTACTTTCTTCTGCCCCCGGTACTCGATCTATGCTTGGAAGCCTCTGTTTTAGCCCATCCTCACTAACGGCAACTAACAGGTAGTGTTAGTAATCCCTTAAACCACATATGAGTACTTCTAACAGTAGCTGGTGCATTTATCACAGCCTCCGTCATTAAGCCAACACACTAACACTAATGAAATGAGAGCTGTATTAACTGCCTTTTGTTAGTGGAATACCTAGCTGATGAGAAGTTTATGATGACTGTCAACTGTGTATTAGCAAGAAAAACTAAAGTTACATTGTCCATAAACAAGATTATTTACTGGTTAAAAATAGATGACTGATCCATCCTTGTACACCAGGATGCTATATAAATTGGTATATAAATTGGATGTTATAAGGGTCTTCTCATGAGAAAAAGATGACACAAACAAATAAATTGGCTGTTACCCAAATAACAGAGAACAGTAATAAGAGCACAAAGATATGACTTTGCTGGTATAAAGGCTGGTGTCCAGACTGCTCTTCATCCATGGAGAGCAGTGCCAGGGAAGTGCTATCAGTGCTGCTGAGTGGTTCAGCACGCTGTGGCCCATGGGGCTCCACCACCCAGTGCAGCACACTCACTTTCATCTCCATGTCATCAATCATGTGGCCAATCTGGCTGATCTCTTGCTCCATGGTGCTATGCTCAGCATCGTCTATGCCAGCAGGAGGTGTTAACCGCTGAGCTTGGTTCGGGTCTGACAGATTGAGTGCCCGAGCAGCAATCTCGCTTCCCCCTCCTGCAAAATTAAAATGAGTAAATTAATACTTTACCTTTTTAGCCAGTCAAATATGACTGAACTGCTTTTAATTTTGTTGCATTTTAAACATATCTGTGACATTTTAGTCCCAAACGGGGTCACGGGAGGCTGGAGCCAATCCCAGCCAGCTGTGGGCAAGAGGCGGGGTACACCCTAGACAGGTCACCAGTCCATCACAGGGCTAACACACAGACAAATAACCATTCACACACACAATCACTCCTATGGGCAATGTTAGAGACACCAATCAACCTAAGCTGCATGTCTTTGGACTGTGGGGGGAAGCTGGAGCACCCAGAGAGAACCCACACAAGCATGGGGAGAACATGCAAACTCCACACACACCGGGTCGGCTGGGGCTTGAACCTGGAACCTTCTCGCTATGAGGCAACAGCGCTAACACCGCACCACTGTGCTGCTCCCATTTTTTAACACTTTATACAAAAAATAAAAATTATTACCTTCATGAATGAAAACTAACTGGCTTAGGTTGAATTTGTTATAGCTGCAGTCAGTGTACCTATACTAACTTGGCAACTAACTGCCCATGTCACCATGTTTTGAAGAAATCTGATCTATTATATCCTGATGTTTTCCTACAAAAATCACAAGAGAGTCCAGAAGAGAAACAGCAATGTTATTTATTTATTTTTTTTAATGTTATTCAGGTGATGCACTTCCCTTGGCTAATCAACCTCCTGTACGACACGTAGTATATGCAATAAATTGCACAGGGCTACCATTTACCTTGAATGCCAGTTTGTACAAGGTTAACAAAACTGGGCAGAGAGAAAGTGTTGCCAATATGGAAAACTTTGCACATGTCAACATGGAGGAGCTCCAGGCTGGAGGAGAAGGCCACCCATAGGAGCTCCATCTCCTTACGCTTCTCTTGAGGTAAGCTCTTATCCTGAAGATGTGAGGTCAGATGATGACAAATGATCACAGCCAACTTTTGGGCTTTTTTCTGTGTTTGTTGCACCTCATCCCGCAACTGCAGGCTATCTGTCCACCCACCAACATATGAGGCCAAGTGCCGGTAGCATGCAACCACCTGTATGAGGAAAAAGAAATAAAGATATACGTAACTTTACGAATATGAAGGGTTTAAGGAACACAGAAGGTTTCATGGCATCTGTGCTGTTCTTCTGTAACTCAAAGCTTGTAATGGAAATGACCATATTGTTTTGTATAGTCATGGACATGCCCACATTACCTGCTCAAGTATACACTTTAATTAAAATAGACATTTAGCCTGAACCTATCATGAAGCAAAATGTATTTACACATATTTCAGTGAACTATGATGTGCATAAATGCTTTACAACAAACTGCTTTTTGACTGTTGAGAAAAAAATAATGACCACTATCCATCAATCTACAGTTATTGCTCAACTTAACTCTGGATCTGTCAGAACAAAATTCTGATAACAAATCTTGGTGTCCAAATTGATGCCGATCTTAATTTTAACACGTTCAAGCCATAACTACATTTTCATTTATATAACTAATTATTTATTTATTTTTATTTGCAACAAATGTCCAGGCTCAGGGGTCTGATGTCCAGAGAAGACTGAAACACTCATTCATGCCTTTATTGCCAGCAGAACAGACTATTGTCATGGTCTTCTGCCAGGTCTTCATCAAACAAGTGTTAAACAGTTTCAGCTTGTTCAGAACGCTGCAGCCAGAGTTTTAACTGAAACTACGATAAATGAGCACATCATTCCTGTACTCCTTAAATCTTTACACTGGCTGGTGGGTTTCTTTTAGAATGGATTTTTTAAGTGCTGCTATTAGTAAATAAGACCCTCAAGGGCCTGGAACTGCAGTATCTTTCCTTTTTTTTAAAGAATATAAGGTTTTTAAGATTTCTAAATACCAATCAGTTGGTAGTTCCCTGGGTCAGAACTAAACAGGGTCAAGCTGTCTTCAGTCATTATGCAGCGCAAAGATGGAACCAGCTTCAGGAGGAATCTGCAGATGCTGTAACCATTTTTCAAAGGTTCAAAGTGTTTATTTGTCATGTGCACAGTTAGGAAACGTGTTTCCCTGTACAATGAAATTCTTATTTTGCCGTCCACATGAATGCCACAAAATACAAATGAAATATAAAGTAGATAAATAACACAAAATCTTAGGCACTTTAAGCAGCAACAAATGCAGCAATATAATACAAATATATAAGAATATAACAGAGAATGTATGCTGCATGGGAGCAGCATGTGCAGCAGAGTCATTGCGCAATTATGCATGTAACACAAATAATTAACAAAATCTAAGACACTTTAAGCAGCAACAAATGCAGCAGTATAATAAAAGAATATAACAGAGAATGTATGCTGCATGGGAGCAGCATGAGCAGCAGTCAACAGTCATTGGGCAATTATGCATTGCAAACTGAGAATGTAAACAGTACATCACGTATTTCCTGGTAGTAAACTCCTCAGCTGTTTAGGAGTCTGATGGCAGAGGGAAAGAAAGAGTTTTTTAGTCTAGTGGTCCTGCATTTCACACTTCTGAACCTCTGGCCACAGGGCTGAAAAGTGAACAGTCCGTGCTGGGGGCGTGTTGGATCTTTGAGGATGGATGCAGCTTTCCTGCAGTGGTAAATGCTCTGCAGAGAGGGCAGTGGAGTCCTGGTGATCTTCTCCACAGTCTTTACCACTCTCTGCAGGCACTTGCGGTCCATAGCAGTAGTGCTGCCATACCAGACAGTGATGCAGCTGGTCAAGATGCTCTCAATGATGCAGCTGTAGAAGTTGTGTAGTGGTTAAAAATAAACAAGGTTCCAGAGGTAATATGTACAGTATGTAGTTCATATATAGATATTATTTGTACTAGTTGTGTAAGGGAGAGCTGAGTGGTTATGGGTTCATTAAGTTCATGTGAGCTGAACAATGAGCTCATATAAGTTGGTCAAGATGTTTCCTGTTTTTGAAGTACATCTTATGGTGTTGTCTCCCGAAACTGGAGACAGGAAGCTAAGTTCAGAAATTGATGTAACAGCCTAAGGAAAGCTGCAGATAAAAGAGTGAGCCTGAAGGTGTGTGAAGGTGTAGTGTGTATTTGTAGCTGAATCGCGGAGTCTGAAACTCTGTCAAAGGATCCTAGGTGACATGCCAAACCTCCTCAGCCTCCTCAGGAAGTACAGCCGTCGTTGGGCCTTCTTGACCAGCTGTGTGGTGTTAAGTGTCCAAGTGAGGTCCTCACTGATGTGGACGCCCAGGTGTTTGAAGATGCTCACCCTCTCCACTTTGAGCCCCTGGATGAACAGCGGCCGATGAGATCTCCTCATTGGAGATCTCATCATTTTTAAATCTAAACTGAAAACACACATGCCTTTGAATGATTGTTTGGCTGTTTTTACTGCTTAATGTTTTTTCCTCTGTCTCTCCCGTATGTAAGCACCTTGAGTCATCATTGGGCTGGAAATGAGTCCGATACAGAAAAAGTTGAGTACAGTTGTTTTACAAAGTGGGAAACTGTTCCAATTTCTTGATCTCAGTCATATGGCAACAACCCTGGAGGATTAGCAGGAGTGGTTTCAGTGAAAAATATTATCCATAATCTCATTATCATTGGTTTATTTTTAGATAAGCCAAAATAACCTTGTGCACTCAGAGTCTAAGTGACCCATTTTCAAACCACAGTTACAGACAAGGGGTCAAACCACAATAACTACATTTATGATATTTTGTTTTATGTATTCATTCACATTTGTACTTTTCTATACTGTATTTTAAACCTTGGATATTTTTGGATATTATAAATCTATATAAATATTTCACATTTTTTCTGTTATTTACCTCAGTTTTCTCCTGGGAACCAATTAAGTTAATTTAAAAACAGTATTAATAAATTCTAGCAAAGCTGAACAACTTGTAGTGGTTTTCAAACTCCTAAACAGCTGAGGAGTTTACTACCAGGAAATACGTGATGTGCTGTTTACATTCTCAGTTTGCACATGCATAATTGCCCAATGACTGTTGACTGCTGCTCATGCTGCTCCCATGCAGCATACATTCTCTGTTATAGTGGTTTTCAAAGCAAACAGCAATGCTGTAGAAGTGCAATATTATTAACTATTATAACTTATATATACATGTATGTATA